TTTTATGATAATAATATACCGAAAATAACAAAAAGCTTGGACCAGATTGCCAGGCGAAACGCTGGATTTACTTCAAATTCATTAGCTGAGATTTTACAAATATATTATTCCTATTTAATGTCTTACATCAACTCGACGCCTTGAATACTGTGAAACTATTCGCTCTAATTTAGATGAAAGTTCTTATAAATATCATACCAGTTTACAATCATAATCAGCTTGATATAAATAGTAACATTAAATGTAGAGGACAGATATTGGATTGTTCAAAGTGTTCTGGTTCAAAAATCGTTTAGTTAGTATGTTTTTCACATGTATTATAACAATGAAAGGCAAAAGATGGGAACTTTTTATTTCTTTCACTTGGACATGTAGTGGACGAAAACTTAGGTGGAGAATTACGCGGTGGCTTAGTAAAATATGGAAATTATGCATTAAATACATTATTTGCACATCTTATTTGGATCTTCCTCTACCTACTCCGTTATTCCTCTAATTCAGTTATTAGTTTGACTACTCTGAGATTTTTTTCTCATCTATTCAATTCAATCTTCTGCTGCTAGACAATTTACTTCAGAATGCTGCTGCCTACTACTTATATCTGTCAGCATAAGTAGCATACTCCTGTTGGTCTATAAACGGTGCTCTCAAGGTCATTTCCCTCACCGTAACGAATTGATTATAATTATCTACAACTATAGAAAATAAAACGGAAAAAAATAACATCGAACAATAAAAGCAATAATTGCCACGATAGATCAACCATGTTTACCATAATAAATGTGCCAGGTTATTTTGTCGTCTACTGATCGGTTAGATAAGGTTGCCAGAGACAGTGTTAGTATAAAGCAACCGTAGGTAGCTAGTTTTGCTCAGTGAGCTCAGTAATGAAAACGACTAGACACTTAAAGTTCCTTTAATCTCACTTGTGGTTTGGGAAATACTTAAGGTGTAAGCACACATTTAAGACATTTTCAGCGGAGAAGTAAGCATCAATGCAAAGAACATAGCATGCGAATGATTTTATTTCATGGATAGATTGTTATAAACTTTCCTAGAGTCTGGAAAAGTTACTGATAAATTAATTTATATATAGAGAAGATTTAGAATGTGACTGTTTCACTAATGATAAAGAGTTACGGATGCTGTAACCAGGACTTTCTGTGTGCTGAATTACTTCATAGGATGTAAAAGACTGCTTAAGTATTTTTAAAAGAAAATTATATTCAATTTGGCCATCCTCTTCTATTTAGGGTGAAGTTCAAGTTTATGAAGTCTGGACTTATAACTTAAGGTAAAATCAGTCTCAAGAATGCGAAGTGTAAATCATTTGTGAACGGTTTTCGAACCCTTATTTATCCTTTATAAGTTCAGTACAATGAATACCGTTGAACCTTAGTTTCAATTCTGTTAGATAAATAAATTGAGAATAGATTGGAACATATAGACGATGTTATTATTGTTTTTTAAATGCTTATAATAATATTGTCACTGTATTTTACATTTATTGTATAATGAGTACTGGACTTAGTTTTTGACATGTATTTAATCTTATTCTATTTAGCCCAAAAAGTACGGTTTGTTATTGAAAGTTTATATTTTCATTGACTTTTTTTAATTTTTTAGGCTAATGATCGAATCAAATGTTATATAATTCTCAATGATTGAACAATTAAGATCATATTGTAATAAACAAGAAGAGGAGTGGGGACAATCGAATGTAATTGAGCACTAATTACAGACTATCGCACTAAAATCTGACGACCATACAGTAAACAGTTAATTTGCAAAATAACAATCAATTTTCTCAGTCTTGACTGTTTCTTCTGCAAATATCAGTCCATCTTCTCTTATTTCGTTGTTCATGCATTTTCATACCGATTGCACTTCGTTCCTGTTAATTCTTTATCAATCTTCTGCCAAAGTACATTCTATGCCTGACCATAGTTTTATACTACTTATGTGGATATAATTAACCCACACCACACTCGTCTCCCGTTTAAAGCATTCGTTCTCATCGTGCCACTTTCTTCTTTTACCTCAGTCTGTGCCACGCTCTCCGTCAAAATGTCGAGTCTGCGGCGCGCTGACCTCCATAGCTCCGTCGGCCTTCTGGGGCATCAACATCCGACATCCACCCGGCACCTGGGACGTTCAACAACCGTACTCCACCGGCTTGATGAGTCATCTACATTCGATGTCCGCTCAGCGGCCGCACGTGGATATAATTAACCCACACCACAATATAATCAGGCGTTACAGTGTGAAAATTTTATTATGACACTGTTAAACTACTGAAAAATACTTGCTTAAAGAATGACATTTTGATTAAATGGTTCGTAACATAAAGTTATTAACAGAATTATATGCATGTATTGTATAGAATGAAGCAATCATTCATTAGTTAACCGAAATAAACCATCAACTATTACGTAATTTACAGATAGAAATAATGAGTACTCATTTGAAAATAATTTATATGAATATTCGTCAATATTAGAACGAATAGTTTGACAAAAATTGGGCACTGAGTATAAAGAGGCCATGATGCTAGCAAACGTCATCAATAAAATAAGCCCAGAAATTATAAACAGAGACGGATGGTGGCTGGCAGTGGAATCTAGGACTCGCGATTCGTTCTATTTATGACTATTCAGTTGGATGTACTTGCGTCTCAGACTTGATGTTCACTCTGAAACTCGAGCCTATTACCGTTCACTTCAAACGCCATCGCGTTATCTACTTAGCTACTGAGTCCTAATGGTCACTAGCTTATTCAATAAGAGACTGATCAACATCAATGAGAAGATTCAAACAAACAATACAAAATGAAAAAAAAACTAGAAAGTTGACAAATTTTAAAAAATAAATTCAGAACATGATTAAACATCAGTTCATTGTTAAAGATAAGTGTCAACTGATACGCTGAACTACAATAATAGTACCTTTACCGATTAACAGAGATTTTGTTACGAGAAGGAATTCTCAACTCCAGGAAATATCTCTTGAAGACAGTCACTAGTGAGCATATGATTATTATCAGAAGGGGTTTTGTGGAGATTTCAGTAACGGCCGTACAGTGCTTCCAGGTTTTCGATGGTGGTCTAGCTTCAATTGACTCATGATCTCAACTCTATAAAATTCTCAACATTAATTGTACAATATTATGAAAAGTTTCACTTTAACTCAGATTCAAATTGTGACCATTCAAAAATTGTACTTTCCAGTTTATCTTCAATGTAGAAAGTTCATATTTAGTTTCTGTTCTATAACTATATTTTTATCACTCATCAGATATAAAATAGATGCAATACGATAACCTTGTCTCTCTTTTTTCCAAAGGTTAAACAAGGAGAAGAATATCCCACCAAGTGTAATGTTTCAGTGTGAGATTTCCAGTATTTAGCATCGTGATAGATTTTAAGCCCTGGATAGTACTGCGTGAGTATACACAAGCAGGTATCATAATTGTTCGCTTTAAATAAATCTTAAGCAAGCAAAAAATAGGTGATCAAAACGTTTGAGCAGGCTTCTGTGAGATCACTTAAACTTGTGAGTATAATATTTGTGTTTGAAACATTTGTAGAAAAGCCAGTATTATGATTATTCATAACCAATATACTGCTATCAAGTATATTTCTAAATAAATCTATTCTATTTTCATCGAGCTCATGAACCAGTCATCGTTAGACCACCGCTGAAATCCTAAAAGTACTGGACTGCCGTTCTTTTGTAGTATGATACTCTTCAACAGTGCATATCCACAATCTCATACAAGGGACTCAAACTTAGGACCTTCGATCTCGCACGTGAATACTTAATCTGTAGACCACTGAACCGGGGTCTAACGGTGTTAATTTCTAACTTCTATTTTTATTCTATAAGAAATATTCATAACATTATTTCATTAGTTACTAATCGCCCAGTTCATTTATGTATTATCCAAAAGAATTACTATGATATGTCAATCTAATAAAGATTATTGTAAACAAGTCAATGATAATATCTTTCAATGGTACTTCTAGAACACAAAAAGAAATGCCCCCCCCCCGAAAAAAAACAATGATCACTTTAGATAAAGCTTATGTAATAAATTACCTTATGTATAGTTAGTGTGTGTGTGTGTGAATGTGTGTGTTAGTATTAACGTTATTTTCCTAACAAAGATTCCATTAAATAATAATCAACAAAGTTCAAGGCATTAATGTTTATATTACATTCAATTGAATGTTTTATGTTTTACTTTTTACTAATGGTGTGAAAAAGGTATTTTATGCTTTTCTCAATAAATTTTTTGTTTGTTTGTTTGTTTTTACCACACACATTGTTTTTGGTTACTGGGTAGTTTTGTGAATTTCTATTCCCTACATAATGAATAAGGTGAAAACAAAAAAAACAACTTACAAATGAAAAACAATTTATTAATAACCGAATTGCCATAGTTACTATAACTTGTCCAGTTTTAATCATTCTCTCCCCTCACTCTATCCCTCTTTATAAATATACATGTATATATATAGATAATTGTACGTATTATAACATTAACTGAAGGTATACACATACACAAACGTAACACATGTATAAATGAGCCTACATATATATTCATCGACATGTTCAGTGAATACATGTTTACTTTTTTTATATATACCCACAGTAGTAGGGCTTAGATCTACACCAGAAAAAAAATATATATATTTGAATGCATCATAATGAAGCATGATATTGAACAAAAAGCAAATACGGGATACTTTTACAAAAATCTAATATAGAAAAAACCCACATCAAACCCGTTGTTATGTTATATGAATGTAGTAACATTTGATTCATATAGCTTAACCTTATTCATTTCATTCATCCTAATGAATAGAAGATGTACTTGGTAACTATACATGTTGTCACTGTGTTTTCTTTTCTGTCATTTCATTCTTTTGACAAGAAATAAACCATTTCTAATATCCAATTTTTAAACATCATGCCTGATCTACTATAATGATCTAATAATGAGTATGTATCAAAGTAGTCAATCGAACAGGTACTCATTATATATTTATTATTACCTCATTTGGTATTTTATATTATTATCTTATATATTTGCTATTCCATTCCATAGAATGCATTCAGAGATTACAGTCAGTTTACCGGATACTTATCATCCATATGTAAACACAAATAATTATTTAAAAAATTATCATATTATCAATTTTAAACATTTGAATAAGGAGAATTTTGTTAAAAATAAACAAAATACAAATCTATCATTGTATAATCAAACTAATAATATAATGGATAGTAACTATAATGTAACTACAATAAAAGAGCATAGTTTGTATAAACAATATCATCGACAACAATTGCAACAACCAACAGAGGATTTACACTTTCAATCAGGTTCATATTTAATCAATAATCCATCATATGTTGTCAATTCATATAATCAATATTTAACGGAATTGGAACAATATAATCCAAATGTTTGGTTTCAACAAAGAAAACATTTGGCAACATCAAAATATCGTTCTGATTTATGGACTACATTACATGTTGAGAATTGCTGTAAGTTTCGGTATTATTTATAGAACTATCTATCTATCTATCTATCCGTATGTCTGCCTACGTTTGTATACATGTTACAGGATGTAAAAGTAATTTGGTTTATTTAATAAAAACATAAGTTTTATATCGCTGAAATCATAAGTCTATTGAAGCTAGACCACCATGGAAAACCTGAAAGCATTGGACAGCCGTTTCGTTCTATTGGGAGACTCCTCAACATATATTTATTTACATTTCATTTTCAGGATTTTTGGTACTCGATCATAATTTTCATGATAAAACCAAGTTTCTTGATACGTTTTATTATGTGGATTAGTATTACTTACATATATAACAAGACAATTGAATGTGAGTGTAAAGGAAGACAAACTTTGCTTGAAGTACATTCTTAAATCCTCAGATGATAGGAAAATAGCTCGAAAACGAATCAGTAATAGCATTACACTCAATAGAGTCAGGTCATACAATTGATTTCAATGACAAAAGAATCCATGAAAAAGGCTTTAATTCTTACAAAGAGTGACTATCAGCCGAAGCCCTACGCATATGGACGAATCCATATAATATTAATAGGAGAGATAGAATACAATTAGCTGTCCCATGAAAACTAATGATTAATAAGTAAACCTGAACTTCTTATTTCATTTAATCTATCACTTACTATATGTATAACAACAATTACATTCAACTTTCCTAATCAGTTGTCTTATCTGAATATGATGAACAATCAACGGGAATAATAAAATTAACACAACCGTTCATTCATTTTTATTTTACTAGTTGAATTCATAAGTAGATCTGAGTTAGGTCACTAATGAAAACATTGAAGGACTGGACGGTAATTCTGAAAATAATCATGTACTCACTAGTGACTAGATTCAAGTTGGATTTCCTGGAGTTATAGTGAGAAGCCATGATCAGTGGAGTTCAGTACGTGTCGGGTAGAGACAGGTATCAACCTCAGACAATGGATAAATAGCTGAACAGCCATTCCAGGATTGATGGAAGTTAGACACTAAGACAGTTGGACACCGGTCGGCTCAGTGGTCTAGAGGTTGAGCGTTTGTGCGCGAGACTGAAAGTCCTGGGTTCGAGTCCCTTGTATGGGATCATAGGTGTGCGCTTCTGAGAAGTCTCATGCTAGGACGAAACGGCCGTCCAGTGCTTTCAGGTTTCCAATGATGGTCCAGTTTAAAACCAACTAACGGATTCAACTATGAAAATTACCACAATCTCTACAAATCCCCATTCCGACATGTTTTTTTGTTTTTATTTATCTTCATTTTATGTGTGCTGTGACATTTGATTTATATCGTATATCAAGATTGTGTGTTTTTTTAAAAATTCACCGATCAGAGGTGATGAGTAGTAAATGAAACGGATTTACATTGAATTTATTCGCTACAATTTTACAAATACATTCTTCCTCTATAATGTCTCACACCAACTTGGAGAAAAATACTGTGAAACTATTCGATCAAATTTAGACGAAAGTTCTTATATAATAATTTTATTGCTGGGAACGACCGTGTTTGGAATAATTTTCAAAATATATTTTAAACTGTTTTATTTAAGTCTATTGTTTTCAGTAATACCTTTTGCGACAATCTCTTTATGGCACTCTACTACTAACTAACTAACTAGTATGGCAACATGGATACTAAAGCGTTATCCGTGGGAGTTTATTGCACCATAGTATAGCTGATATCAAATTTGATTGAAAAATAAGTGGGTGAGAACATTATAATAGATTTTACTGCGGATTAATATCAGTTAGGACACAGTTTAAATCTAGAATTCGATGGATAGATGTTTTGTCTATATTTGGAATTTCTCAATCGTCTCCCTTCAAAATTTTCCACCAACCGTACTCAGCATTACAATAGGCTTCTAAAGTTTGAATTGTCATGTTGAAACCTGCCTGCTTTACACTTTGAACATCAATCAATTCATGTTAAAGAGCAAAGATCACAGAGTTTCATCAATGATAACCATCTCACTCTCGACTTAATCGAACGCTACAGTTATTGACTTCTTAATAGAACCTCAGAAAATCGTCTCAATTCAAATCATTATCAGGCTCACGATCACAATATGATTGAAAGGTTTTATCAACATTAGTTTTAATTTGTAAGTGTAAATTGCTGAACAGTCCTGAACTACGATGAAACAGCCACACAGTCCCTTTTATAGGTTGTACTATTACATATATCCTTCAGTATTGAAAATCAACCCATAAATTGAAACTAAACTATACAATACACTGAACCATAAGTTGAAAGCCATGTTTTAAAAAATCATCATTTTTGATTGACTGTTTGTTTAAAACGTCTTACATTGAGTTTATTTCTGATACTATTCGCACTAAAAATATTTCCATTACAATGTTCATTTCAGTTTCAAAAGAATTAAACTTGTTTAGAGTACATTTATATCGGTAAATTACTTTACAGATACAAATGTTTCTTAAAGAACACTCGGTTTTTACCTCGGGGTCTTACATTAAAATTAATTGACAATCGTTGAAGCTTTCAAGAGTCTTAAAAATTGAATAAATATTGTTTATTATCAGAAGGAACTTTGTGGATATTATAGTAATTTTAATAGTTGAGATCATGAATCAATTGATCTCAAATGATCTCAACTCTTAAAATTACTATAATATCCACAAAACCCCTTCTGATAATAATCAACATATGCACACTGGTGACTGGCTCCAAGGGGTATTTCCTGGATTTCTATTGAGAAGCAGTGATCACTGGAGTTCAACCAGTTCTGTTGTAAGATAGTAACTCACTGAAGACATTGGTGGATGTGTCGTTCCATTTCGTGGATCGGTTGAAGTTAGATATTAACACTGTTGGATGCCGGCTAAGTGGTTTAGAGGCTACGCGATCGCGCGCCAAGCTGACAGGTTCTGGATTCGAATCTCACGAGTCAGGATAGTGGTCGCACACTGCTGAGGAGTCCCGTAATAGGACGAAACGGCCATCCAGTGCTCCCAGGTTTTCTAAGGTGGTCTAGCTTCAATTGATTCATGATCTCAACTATCAAAATATTGTTTAATTGAAACTATTTACCGGTAGTTCTATCAAATTGTCTCCCATCTTTTATATTGTAGCATGTGACTATATAGTTTGTTTATTAACAAGGCAGCTAAAAAGTACAAAATTTGTAGATATGAACTACCGTTTTTATTTGACATGAAAAGCTAATGATTAGTTGAGCATTTAGGATAAGTTTTCTTTTTGTAATCATACAATCATATCCTTAAATTTACGAAATTCTATTGGTGACTTTAACTAATAAAGTTCAATTTTGTTAAAGATGTGACAGTTATCATCAACACCATTAGCTTATAACAAGTGTATGATAAGGAGATTGGAAATAAAAAATATGAATCACTGAAATTTAACCTGATAATATCAGGATATCATGTCCTCTGAGCGACCTGAAAGTGATAAATTAAATGTTTGGTGAAGTCGTGGATGTTCACTCTTGAGAAGGCATGACTTGTGATCAGATAAATTTCTAGTTTACCATTATATTCACTTATTATCCAGGTGATATCAGTCATTAATAGAAGTATATATCAATTTATTCTAATATGATATTTGAAGTGATGAAAATCTCACTTTAAAATGTAATTGATAAAATAAACACCCCTAATAGAAATACTGTCATGGAATCCCATGATACAATAAACAGAATTCAATAATCATTCAAGTATTTTCATAGTTGAAATCATGAGACAATTGAAGCTAGACCACCATCGAAAACCTGGAAGCACTGAATGGCCGTTTCGTCCTATTACGGGACTCCTCAGCAGTGCGCATCCACGAACCCGCTCTCGCGAGATTCGAACCCAGGACCTACCAGTCACGAGCCGAAGCCCTTAACCGATAGACCACTGAGCTGGCATCCAACGGTGTTAATGTCTAACTTCAACTGATCCACGAAGTTGAGCAACCATTCACCAATTGTCATCAGTGAGTTGATATCTCACAACAGACGTGGTTGAACTCCACCGGTCACTGCTTCCCACTAGAACTCCAGGACATGTATCTTGAAGTCAGTCACTAGTTTTCGATGGTGGTCTAGCTTCAATTGATTCATGATTTCAACTTTGAAAAATACTGAAATCTCCACAAATCCCCTTCTGATTATTTCAATATTATTATGAAATAACATTTTCAAGAAGATATTAAAGAGATGTATTAAAGGAATACAAGAAAAAACATTACCTAGCAAGAACTTTACTAACTGATTATATCTTAACTAGTTTAAATGAAGTATTACTTTTATTTTTTAATTTATTCAACATGTGGTTCTTTTATTATAATCAGATTATGTTTAATGCCTACTGTTCTACCAAGTGAATGGAATAATAATAATAATAGTAGTAACAATGATAGTAGTAATAATAATAATAGTCAGAGTAATTTGTCGTAATCATTATTTAATTGATTACATTATGTTTAAGTATAGGAATATGTATATTTTTATTACTTTACATTACTATTCCTCCTTACTTCTTTTTTTGTTTGTTCACCTTTTTTGATTCTGATGGTGGTATTGATAGGAATGTAATAATGTCTAATTTACCAACTTTCTTACCCCTTTTTTTTCCTTCTAAATAGGCATTAATAAACTTAGTTGTCTGCATATACATATATATGATCAAGTTTTACATGTATGAATTACCTACCGCATAACCAGTAAGATGCATTACAAACACTCTATGTAAACATTTATTTTTACGGCCTTTCTCTTTTCTACAAATATATATATATATATATATATATATATATAGAGAGAGAGAGAGAGAGAGAGAGAGAGATTCTCAGTAAGTTACCAGTTTTACATGCCTTAAAGTTGTTCTTATCTTCACCTTTTCCATATTGTATCTGTAACTCTTTCATTGTCTCTCTCTGTTTTGTATACCTGTATATGGGGAAAACGTAGAATCTCCTGGCTCAATTGTTCTCTATATCGTTTAT